TAATTAATTATGTGTATATTTTTTATGTGACTACACTAAAGTATATATACATCTTTAGTAAAAAAGAAAGGTATAGTGATACATATATATAATACTACCCTGATTAAAAATATTGATTGAAAAAAATGTAAAAAATGTACTACATGCAAATTATAAAAAAAAAAATTTTTTATTTTTATTTTAATTAAACATACTCTGGACTGAAATTTGCTAGGCAACCCATATGGATTATATTTATTAACATATTAAATTAAATATAAAATACGTTTCATTAAATAAGCATCTCGGTGAAGGTCGTTGTACAGTAGAACCTCGATAACGTAAACCTCGGTAACATAAAAACCTCTGTTACTTCAAAAAATACTATGTTCCCTTCCCATCAGAGCCCAAAACCTCTATAACTTAAAATACGCAACCTCTATAACGTAAATAAATAATCTCTGTATAGGCCCTCAGTAACTAAAAGAAATGTTTCCACAACCTCTATAACATAAAATTGTTTGTGAATGAGTCATTTTATAAGAGTGTCAAAACAAATGGTTTCGGTATTTATTGCTTGCACGTGTTTACTAATGTATTGTTAACGTAAACAATACATTACCTATTGTTTGCTTTATCTAAATTCTTCAAAGCTTTGCGGCGGTTAGCTTTGTGACAACGACTTACTTGCATCATAAGTTAATGTGTTAATGTATTCTCCTCTCTATTTGTCATTGAAAATCAAATCGATTATAAACAGTGAATTTTTTAAAACAAAAGAAAATCACAGTTTTTTTTAAGTAGACTAAACCTTTAGTTGTTGTTTTATTTTTATGTAATGTAAGTAATGTGAATAAATATGATTAAATATTTAATTTTCCATCCTTCTGATGCATTCAAGTAAAAATGGGAGGAAGGGTACATAGAAACATGTACATACCTCTATATTAGCCTTTACCTGACATAGAACCTTGATAACTTAAAACCTCGATAACATAAAATATTTTGTGTTTCCCTTGGACTTTATCTTATCGAGGTTCTACTGTATATCGGGATCTTAGACCATTAAAAAATTATAAGGTAACTAATGTATAAGCTTTTTATCTTGTCATTGTAGTTATAATATTCTATGTTGTAAGTATACCCTGAACCATCAATTATGTATCAAAAGAATCAGGTCGACCCATAACATTTTAATACCCATTCGATCCGATAATCGATCAAGCGACTTATATCGGATATAAAATTGAGAGGTTATGTTTGGCGAGCTTTGATCTAGATAATGGGTGATTATGATTCATCATGAACGGTCCTTCCGGGAAATACGATTAAACGTTATAGATTGGATGAGCAAAGCTTTTTAAATACATTATTATTCGCATTACTTACTACTATTAAACTAATATTATTAACATTTTTCACTTCGGCTTGCTTTCTATGTGCAATTGTTTGCTCTATAGAAAAATACGTCAAGACTGTTAACTGTCATGTTGCGAATGACAAAAACGTATTCGATTTGACACACGTGACACTACGCTTAACGCTAAGTCTTAGGCCTGTATTAATTTATTTACAAAAGCTTGCCAACGCTCAGCACACTGATACATTGGTAATTAAGAAATATAAAATGCAAGTTTTAATATTACAATAAGGCAAACATAACAAATACGAAGATAAAAAAATACATAGCTTCATAAATGATAGAAACTAAAGGAAAATTGATTTTTAAATGAATGCGGGCCTCCATACAAATATTCCAAAAGGTATCTCAATCCGTTTGAGCACTATCAAATACGTCAAAGTTCAAATAGAAAACATTATTTGACAGCTCTTGAAAGCAAATTTTAGTTAAGTGAAAGACGTAGGTACGAAAGGTCGACAAATTGGCTGTAATGCCACTGTGTATTTTATTTAATTTAGCTTTTTGTGAATCACCAGTGATTCTAGTTATTAAATACATTACATGGTTGGCCTACACTTCCTTATCGAGGCAAAATCTACTTTTACAAGTCTTGGAATAGATAACAGGTTCCACCGGTCCGTGTTAGATCTTCCGGTGGTCTAGATTCTATGATTCGTGAGGTGCTCATGAATATATGCATGTCTTGATTGAGTATGTGTGAAACGTTTTAAAACCTTTTTAGTATTGGAAGTGTGACTACCTTATTATATTAACGGGTTGAAATTTAAAATAGGATATTTAGATTAGTTTACAGAGAAATTTAATTCCGGAAAAAGTAGTTAAGGGTGAGAATATAAACGGAAACGATACAGCGAACAGTCTAGTACAACATTCGTTACCATGGTTACGAGTTACGACCTTTATTTAATTTTTACTCGGAGTCATGAGACGCACAGAGGTTTAACATTAAGGATTTCCTAAATATAAAAACAACAAGTTTATAATGTAAATTCCGTAAAGGAACTGAAAGTAATATATTAATAAGTATTGCTTTAATTTAACATAATTATTTCCTGTTTAAAGTATTTTCACCTTAATACAGATACCGGCAAACTTCTTGAACATTAAACAAGGGAGTGGGGGAAAGTTTGCGCATCGCGGGACACAAACGTCAACCTATTTACCAATCACCCGATCGACACGTCACTCTCCCGCCGCCGCGTACCACCGCCCGCAGCCTAAGCTCAGTGATACCTATAAATCGCTTCTGCGCAGGCAAGGACATTTGTTCAAGATGTTTGCCGGTATCTGTACTGTATATTAAAACAAACCACATAACCGTAAAATGTATCTTCCTATTAACTATTTTAGCAAAATAAAGTTATTAAACCGAAATCAAATAATTAAAGACACGCGCAGAGCTGCGTGCTGTGTGATCAGATTACGAAGTACAGCAGGTGCTGTAAGTAACTCAGGATTAATTTGAATACACATATGGCTTGTGAATTAGGTTGTTTATGAAACACAAGATTAAGATAGCTCTAATAATATACATCTATGTATTTGTTACTTTAGATTCGTGAGATCAATAATTCGTGGGTGGGATTTGCTTAAAAAAATCTGTGTTTTGAAACATTTCTTAATCTGTTTCATGATAATTTTTCAAGGCAAACTAATTTTTAAGTCTTGTTCATATTTATAAAAATCTAAAACTAGATTTCGGAGACTTAAACAGGAATTTAATGGATTTAATTGCCATTAAAATATTAAAAGTGTCGGAAATTAACAGAAATTATAAATCTAAACATTTAATTTTAATATTAATTTCTTCGATAATAAAAACATGTGGCATTTTAATTTGCATTCCGTCATTTAAGATTTCAATAAATTATTTTGCACAAAATATAAAATACTAATATTTCATAATTTCTCTTTACGAAATATTAATTTTAAAAATAGAATTTCTAAAAGGTAATTCTACCTTCTCACTCTCTCAATCGGTCACAATCGCTCTCTCCCTTTTCTTTGACAAAAACGCTGCACATCTTCGTGATGCTAATATTATTATTATTGCGTTTCATCCGTAAAAGTTTTACCCTCATCCGCCTAAAGAAGTTTCACTTAAAAACACACCTTTCGTTGCATTTTGGTTTTAATATCTTTTCCTTGATAGTACAAGCTAGTGTTAATTGTTACATATAAACAAATACCATTAGTGCATTGCCAGGGAATACACAGCCGTGGGTAAAATTGGCCGTTTACCTAAGCTAATAATTAATGTAAAGTTAAGAAATACGCGGTAATAATATTTATTAATTTGCTTTTTCCCAGTAATTTTATGTATAGTTAAATTTAAAAGATTAACATTGCATGACCATGAGATCTGGAAAGCTAATCCAGTTAGTTTGAAAGTTTATCTTAATTAAATTTTTATTTAAATTTTGATAATTTGACGCAACTATATCCCGTTAAAACTGTTTTTATGTAATGTTAATAAGACAAATATAAGTGTGTACACATTCATCTACGCTGTTCTATAAAACGACAACTAACTGAATAGTATTTGGCTGTTATCGGTAATACCTAAGAATCCTCATGGCGTCATGTAATAGAAATTCTCATGAGGATTTTTCCAGAGTAGTTGTCGCCCGGGCCCGGTGGGAGACTCCAAGCCCACCAGACCTAGTTTAATCTAATAGGGCATAAGGCAGCAGGGGAGATGTAACACTCTCCTGCTGCCTAGCTTCTCAGCCACAGATCTGCCTGATCGAGTACCTGATAGGCTATTAGCTTTTTAGAAATAGATACGCCACAGACAATAAAACTGGAGAGTTTTATTTAATTTGCTTTTAATTAGCTATTAATAACGCTGTATTGTTGCAGATGTGCTCCCGATAGGGATATGGTGCCAGCTGTTGCGGCAAATATGGCTTCATAAGTCAAAGAGGGATTTATCCTTGTGGTAAGTATGAGAAGTGCGAAAAAATTAGGTCCTTACTTGTGAAATTGACGTTTTGTATGGCAGGAACAAAAAGTAGATTTTTAAACATAGAATATATTTCATTAATCAAAGTATGTACCATTGCTATCTATGCACTTTTGCCATCGTATAGGTAGTTTATTATATTTATATATATGAAAGGTTTGTAAAGTAAATTAGCTGTAGATTTCGTTATAAATTGGACTAAAATGATTAATAAAAAATGTGTATATCTCAAGATGTTAAGACGGAGTGATATTACGACGGAACGCACAGAGTCGTAATTCACTATTCGGCCCAGATGAACGCGGAAATTCAAAATAATAGAAATATTTTGTCGTAATCTTTTTTAAACTTGTAATTTGTATTCTAAACTGAAGATTCACTCTTCGACTCCAAATGAACTGTATCATCGCTGTTTCCTGCTGAATTGTAAGCACCTTTTGTAATGTGGACTTGCACTTTTGGTCTATTAAAGTAACCTCTTTTAACGTGCTCTGTGCTGACACCGTAGTTAAAATTTACCAAGCTTTAACGGCAAAACGTAATTTTCTTACCTAGGGGAAGAATATTGTAGTCCTGATTTTCCAGCTCATGTATTTATAATGCAATGTCTCAGTGGTTCAGAGATAAACCGCGATGGGTGGCGTGGGCGTATCCGAGGAGTACGTCCCGCCGCGGCTGTCGCGGCTGCTGCACTCGCTGCCTCACATCAACATCACGTTGCATCGGGTCAACGATACCTTTGCGCCAAACTCCCCTATCTACCTAGAGGTAATTATTTTTACTTGTATCAGCGGGCAAATCAGGTGCAAACCTTCATTATAATGTCAACAAACAAAAACACACTTATAATATCGTCTAATACGGAAAATCACATTAAATACTGTTTACTTATAATAATGACGTAGACATAAAATTTATTATTAACGAAATACACAAAATAATAATCAAAGAGAAAATGTGTGTAAGGGAGCGTTGAAGTATTACGTCACGCGTTTTGTGACCACCTAGTGACTATTTATACCTAAAAGTTACCATTTTGTGGTGTAAAGTACTGGAAAGTCGTAAATAATATTAACAAAAACGCGTAATTTAATCCCCGCCCCGCATCGTAACGTTTTACAAAAGAAATACAAAATTCGTTACGTAATACTTGAACGCTCCCTAATGTGTGTGTGTTGTGTTTGTAACTGGTCGCGGCTTAGCATAATGCTGTGGAGCAGACGTGTTCCACGGTGCTGGTCATTCTGCCTGAGACCTGAGAGAAAGAGTAATGAATTCGTACATACATGAATTTGTATTTCGTCAATATAAAACATTTGATTGTTACATTTCAGAGTCTCGGAATCTTGGGTTCAATTCCCGGCGCTTGGCTGGTCCTCACACTTACAGTGCTGCTCATTTACTTGCTCACGAGATGCTGCGATCGGAAGCAACGACCGCCCAAGAGCATCACTGCGCTCAAGGTACTATAACGATTTTATTACCTACTAACTGCCCCCGCGATCTTCGTTTCTCCTAAATGTGATTTTACTTACCCTACCTCTTTAGTACATACCAACATGGATGATTTATGCTATGCTATGCTACTCCGGTGACTGTTCGATTTTCCGAAATGAAAACTTTTTAGGTTGTTCTGTAAATTGTTCTCTATATAAACCTCTGAGTTCAAGTCATAAGTTTTAAATTAACAAATAAAAATAGGGGTTGATCGTAGAGGGTCACCCCTAAAAAGGTCACCCCTTAAATTAAGTGTTGTATGTATTTTTATGATGTATCATAAAAAATAAAAAATAAATCATAAGAATCGGTCGAGCCGTTTCGGAGGAGTATAGGAACGAACATTGTGACACGAGAATTTTGTATATGTATTAGATTTATTTTGTCTATACCTATAGCCTTTGAATAAAATTCCAGTTGAGAAATGCAATAAAGACTAAAATTATTTAAGCTAAGCTAAGCTACTGAAATGAAATGAAATGAAATAGTTTATTCTTGCAAGTAGGACTATATAAATCACTTTTACAATGTCATCCTAAACTAGATGAAGTCGACATTTCCTAACTGACTGCCCTGAGAAGAAATGTCGAAACAAACTCGGGGGTCTTAGTCTCTTTTATAGTCCAGATAATACAATAATAAATTAATAAATTGGTGTAAACAAATGCAGAGTATTTACTGGACTGGTCTTTGGAAGAAAGAACCAGATCGATCTGAGCAAGCCTGTGCCAGCAGACGGCAAGCATGCCCCGAATAGCTCATGCAGCTCAACCATTTTTGAGGGAGCTGCACAACCCGGTACACAGCAATACCGCCAGTGGCACCATAAAAATATGTGGGGCAACAACTCACTCAGATCGCCAGCCCAAAATAACTATATACTAAAATGTATCAAATTATAAATCAAGCAAAAGAGTTTATGATATACCCGCATAATGTTTACACTTACAATGGATACAAAATGTATTTTTTACTAAAGGAATTATAAAGGAAATTCAAAGTAATCACTAATTATTTGTCAGTATGTGGTATGTTTTATATCCTGGAAGTGTGGCGGCGTCAACTAGAAGGCTAGTTATCTTAAAGGAACATTCGTAGTTTCTTCGAAATATAGAAGCAACAATATTAACATAAATACTTTGTTAAGTGTTTCTATATATATGTGCATTTAAAACAATTAAGATGTTAGGAATTCTGGTGTAAAGTATTTTAAAAGCAAGCTTTGAGCGACCACTAAACGAATCATGTATGAACCTCATAGTGTTATTCGCTAAGTGATGTTCACATAATTAACTATATATAGCTAAGGATGAGATTCGAGAGAAAAAATGATATTTTCTAAGTGATTCTTTTGCTGAAAATCATCGCGTGCTTGGGGGCGTTATTGTATACAATGTTTATGTATAGCAATTGGTAAATATAGGAGTTAAAGTTAACACTTTGTGAATAAATATAGCTCAAACCCCTTTTAAATTGTTTGTTATAGGTGTAGAATTTTTTATGTTCTGTAAAATGTTCATCTTAATTTGATCATATTAAATTGAAACAGCGTAAGTGTTTTACACACTTAGATTTTAATATAGAGTGATAAATATATATACATATATTAAAAAATTATAAATTATACGTTCAAGTATGGCCCTGTTTATCTGCTTTAATAATCAAGTGGTTCCCACAGCGGCGTAATTAAGTTTACACATGTGTTAACGAAATGAAATGCGTCGGAATATCAAAATTATGTATAAGAGTGAATTTTTCGCCTAAATTCTGGACTTAAAATGTATGTAATGCTACTGTGTCCGATCGCTTTAGGATTATAAAATGTTTTAGCAAGTTTTTAAAAAATGCAATCCTAAGGATTGCATTTTTTAAACCTTTTTTATAACCTTTTTTTTATAACCTTTTTTAGGATTTTAGTTTATATTTTTTAACCTAACCTTTTTTTAGGATTTTAGTTTATATTTCAATATTTTTCTCATGTAAGGCATTTTGTTTTTAATGCGAGTAATTTTCTAAAAATCTAAAATACATTTAATCAGTCCCAACAAGCTAAGACACATTTTTATATAATTCCGATATATTAACGCCATCTGTTAGGCATTAAAATTTAAGTATTGTTAAGTGTTAATATGGACATATTACTACCAGGACAATTATTTATTCAACACGCGCCACAAACTGGTGATTAGAGTATTATGAACAATTTATTTCATCATAACCTTTCATTATATTTGTGATGTAAGAGATGCCTTATTACTAATTATTTGTGAAAGCTATAGGTTTTTTAGATATACCGCCTCATTCTAAAAGTTTCGTATCTTTCTCTCTAGTAATTACACTGTGATGAAAAGAGACAGATGTAGGTACTATAGTTACATACAATAGTCCAAAGTCCAGTTTTTTATGAAAAATGGCAATAAACTACTAAGAATAAAATTAGCTGTCAAGTTATCTGCGTTACAGATCCTTAATTGATTATCCAGTTTAATAGTCCAACTGCATAATTTTTCAGAACAAAGAGAAAACGTTTATTCATTTATTCTGGGTCAATTAACTTGACTAATGTTCTTTCAGATGTAATACGAAAAGTTATTGGCTATTAATAACTTTTAAAACGAAGCATCAGCAGAATCTTTGAAGTCAGATGAAAAATTTAAATTATAACGATACCAATTATTTTTAAATATTTCTTTGATCTCGATTATACGTTTCAGTTATTAATACAGTTAATCTGTTACGATATTGTAGTTCCAATGTTGGCTTGACTCATGCGTTCGAATCACGTCATGAATAGACTTTTCTAAGTGCTCATTTGACACTTGCTTGTACGGTGTAGAGAAACATCGTGAAGCCGGTATGTCGATAAAAGACGACGACAAATATGCCACCTACTTATCAAAAAAAAAATAAAGATACAGAAATCTGAGGCCCCAGACCTAAAACTTTGTAGCGCCACTGGAATTAATATTTAGTCAGTTATTCCAACTTCCTGACGGTTATTATGATTTAATTATTAGAGCAGTGTTGGCCTGGTGGCTTCAGAGTGCTTCTCATACTTGAGAGTCGTCCATTGGCGCATTTAACATTCGCTCGAACGGTGAAGGAAAACATCGTGAGGAAACCGGCTTGCTTTAGACCCAAAAAAGTCGAGGGCGTGCGTCAGGCACAGAAGGCTGATCACCAACTTGCCTATTAGATAAACAAATTATCATGAAACAGATACAGAAATCTGAGGCCCTGACCTAAAATGGTTGTAACCCCATTGATTTATTGTTTAATTATTATTTAAGTCGTTAAAATTAGTAATATTTTTTTCGCTTGAAGTCAATATATTATTAAATATTTCAGATATCACTGATGATACTGTCGATTCTGTGCTGTGGCGCAATCGGCATGGGCCTCTTTGGCAACGACGACCTTCACAACGCCATGCTTCAGAGTATCCAGGCGGGCAACCAGCTCGCCGCTCTTGTCAACACTGTTAAGAATCAGGTATTATGTCTTCTATATTCAGCCGCAGTTTTGTGTAAAATTAGAAGCATTGAATATGTATTTCTTTATTGACGTTGAGTGTATACGTACATTGTGTTACATAAATTAATAAATGAATTTGAATTTGTGGAGTCATAAGGACCTATGAGGTGCATATTTTAAAATTATCTGTTAAGTTTGTTCCTATATATTATCTTTTCCATTTACTATAGGAATGACACCATTTTAATATGTTATACGTAAGTATTGTTGTCGAGGGTCTGTCCAAGTTTTGTGGTCGTAAGAAAAAGTATTTAATTATAATTTTTCATGGCATGTATGCAATGATTTATAACTCGAAGAGGAAATACGCATTATCTTATATTGTAATATAAAATGTATTTGGTGCCCATATCTTGATAGTATTTCAATATTGTTTTAAAAGTCAAAGGGTAGAATTCTATTTGCTACATGATGCTTATATATATTTACGCTATTATATCAAACTAATTCTATTCAGTCATTAACAGATGTTCATTAATTCCGAGTACATTAGCATAGGTAATAGGTTCCCGTACGTGTGCGCCATGAATATGTTTTTGAGTCGTGCACATAGTGAGCTCAGCGATTGTTGATGTAATTAATGATTTTTTGTATGCTATACATACAGTATATATACCAATGTAGTGTATAGTATATAATAAAATAAAATTATGTGTAATAATGTGTAATGTATAGTATATATACATATAGTATATATCCATATGGATATACCAATAACTTTAGTAATATTCATACGATATATCCTATTCCAGTCAAGTATACTAGAAGAAGCGATGGGATCACGAGCGCGTGCGCCATTGGCCCGTCTTGCGGACGCATTAGACGCACCCGTTGCAAACCAAACAGCGCTTGGTACGCTGTTACGAGCACTGTCAGCGCTGAGAAATAACGCTAGTGCTGCTGCCTCCGCCGCCGATAACTTGCGACGCCCTCTGGCTGCGCTGAACCTTGATTCTTTTATGAAGGTATCTATTATATTTCAATTCCACTAACTAAATTTTTTTTGTAAACTTTTGATATGAATTTTTAGTACCTACTTATCGTTATACGCTATTAGTCTTCTTCGCTTCAATCATCAGTTAGCGGTTCTAAAATTATCATAAGAGAAATGGTACAAACTTGGATTATTCCTTACCTTACACCATCTCTGAGGTTGCCGTAATTCATATAAAATTAATGAATAATTTATTTATTTACAGCTTCTGTGTGACCAAATTTTAACTAAAACTTATAGAATTGAGTGATTTTTAGAAAATTTTCATTTTTATATCAATAAATCTTTTCTAAGCACATTTTTGAATCACAGTCTGTGTGGCTGTGTGACACACACACACACACCTCCATACTTATCCGGATATATTCGTTCGTTATGTTTCGTTGTGTTCGTTCAAAATTGTTGTGGCGTCCTCGTCGTCATTGGTAGCTGAAATAAAACATCAATAAAAATTACTAAGAATTAAATTATGTATTAAAAATGTACTTACCAACTTCTACGTATAGACCGTGTCTATTGTTCTCCGCGGCAGGCGGGGGGCGAGGCACGCGCATTCCACAGCGCGCTCCGCCACCAGTACGGCCCACGATTTCTTAAGCGACACACGTGCAACTCGCTGCCGACGCCGCGGTTTATTTTTACGAAAATATATACATCGTTGAGATCACATAAGTTTTATTATTTATATAGTGTTTATACGACAACGCGAACACTATACTGGTGACCCCGACGTGATAAGAGTAAGAAAAAACTACACGCCACGCGGTCTTAGCACTTTTGCCATGCAAGACGAAAACGGTGGGGACACGGACAATATGGAAAAAGGTGCACATGAAATTTTCAAAGTTGGAATTAAAATACCACCATTTTTACCGAATAGACCTGCACTCTGGTTTGCTCAACTGGAAGGCCAATTTTGTTTGGCGGGGATAACGTCAGACACGACTAAATTTTATAACGCGACTAGCCAGCTGGACCCACAGTTCGCTATTGAAGTTGCGGATATTATAGAAAGTCCTCCCAAAGACAACAAATACCAAACCCTCAAAGCGGAGCTAATAAGGCGATTAAGTAAACCGCGCGAAGAAGAAATTAGGCAATTTTTAGACAATCAAGAACTCGGCACTAGAAAGCCTTCACAATTTCTTCGTCACCTACAACATTTGGCCGGACCACAGGTACCAGACGAATTTATTAGATCAGCATGGCACAATAGGTTACCCAATAACATTCAACCTATCATTGCATCGCATATGGATATGCCGCTAGAGAAACTTGCAGAGTTGGCTGACAAAATTATAGCCATCGCAGCCCCAACCCCACCAAATGTTTACGCCGCTACATCGTCCTCAGCTAACCAACATGCTGGAAATCCTCCAGACCACTACCTCACCGTTTTAGAAAGCTTGGCCAGGCAAGTTAACGAATTAACCAAGCAAGTTGCTTCCCTGAGCATGCATAATAGCCGATCAAGCAGATCACCACAACGTAGGTATAACAGATCAAGATCTCACTCACGCTCCACCCAAAGATGGAAGGAAAACAAAATGAATAGCGTGTGTTACTACCACAGAAAATTCGGTGAAGGCGCCATAAAATGTCTCACGCCCTGTTCCTACAAGACTTTAAACGCGAACGGCAGCCTGTAGTGGCGGCTAACGACTGCCTAACGCATACTCCTAATGACCGCCTCTTCATCGTCGAAAAGAAAACTAAACTGAAGTACTTGATAGACACGGGATCTGACGTTTGCGTTTTTCCTAAGTCGGCGACCAGAGACCAGCGTCATAAAACTAAATATGAGTTATACGCTGCCAACAACACTATCATAGCTACGTATGGCTACATATCCTTACACCTGGACCTCGGACTTCGCCGGGACTTCACCTGGAGATTCGTAGTTGCGGACGTCACACGACCCATCATTGGTGTTGACTTCTTGGGCCACTACAACCTATTAGTGGACTGTCGTCGTCACCGCCTCATCGACGGCCTCACAAGTTTGTCCGTCAACGCGCCACGCTGCGCCAACATTGCTGTGGAAACGGTGACCATCAAAACAGTTGCTGGAAACTCCGACTTTCACGACTTACTTCGCAACTACCCAGATGTAACGAAACCTACTGGAAAGCCAAAAGAAACCAAGCACCAAACGAAGCATCATATACGTACTACCCCTGGTCCACCAGTCGCAGCTCGTCCCAGACGTTTAGCCCCAGATAGACTGCTTATTGCGAAAAAAGAGTTTGAAGAGATGTACGCAAATGGAACAGCTCGTAGATCAGAGAGCCCATGGTCGTCTCCCTTACATTTAGCCAAAAAGAAGGACGACGGTTGGAGACCATGCGGCGACTATAGAGCACTTAATGCCAGAACCATCCCTGATCGATATCCAATAAGACAGATTAATGACTTTGTTTACCAGCTGTCTGGAGCTAAAATATTTTCAAAGATTGACCTGATTAAGGCCTACAATCAGATACCTGTCGCGAATGAGGACATACCTAAAACAGCCATAACGACACCATTCGGACTGTTCGAATTTCCGTATATGACCTTTGGTTTAAGAAACGCTGCTCAAACCTTCCAAAGATTCATCGATGAAGTTCTTCAAGGCCTGGAATTTACATATGGGTATATTGACGACATCCTAGTATTCTCGAAGACCAGAGAACACCATCTTCAGCACCTTAAAACTGTCTTCGAACGACTTAACCAGTATGGCATCTTAATAAACACCTCTAAGTCCATATTCGGCATTAACGAAGTAACTTTCCTCGGCTACAGCGTCTCGACTGAAGGCATACGCCCTCTCAAAGAGAAAGTGGAAGCAATTACCAACTACCCACAGCCGAAAACAGCAAAGCAACTCCGACGGTTCCTGGGAATGATAAACTACTACCGGAAATTCATCCCTGATGCAGCAAAGATACAGGCTCCTCTGAACGATGCCCTAACAGGTAACATCAAAGGAAATGCACCTATCGATATGACTAACCTTGTAACAGCTTTCAATGAGTGCAAGCGCAGCCTATCTCAAGCCACTCTTCTTGTCCACCCTGAAATCAACCTGGATCTAGCCTTATTCACAGATGCTTCAGACGACTCCATCGGCGCTGTCTTGCAACAAAAACGAAAAGGCAACTGGGAACCCTTGGGATTTTTCTCTCGTAAACTGACGACATCGCAAAAAAAATATAGTCCATACGATAGGGAGCTACTGGCCATATACGAAGGTATCAAACACTTTAAATATATGTTGGAAGCAAGAAACTTTTGCATTTACACCGACCACAAGCCCATCACCTACGCCTTCACAACAAACAGAAGCCAGTGCTCTCCAAGACAATTCCGCTATCTTGACTACATATCTCAATTCACCACCGATCTAAAATACATTCCCCGGGAAAGACAACATCGTCGCTGACGCCCTATCACGTGTAGAAGAGATTGTCACTATAAATTACGACGCACTTGCAAGAGATCAGGCTCAAGACCCTGAATTGCAAGCTTTGCTAACCAAAAACACAGCACTACAACTGAAACAGATCGCTGAAAACCAGCTGTACTGCGATTTTTCCACCAAATCGCCTAGACCGTACATAACACCTGCCTATCGCAAACGCGTTTTTGAAACCATACATCAACTCAGCCATCCAAGCGGCCCTACCACTGCTAAAATGGTAGCTCAAAGATTTGTGTGGCCCGGAGTAAGACGCGATTGCAAAACTTGGGCAAAGGAATGCGTAGACTGCCAACGAAGTAAAGTCAACAGACATACGAACGCACCATTTACAACCTTTCCAGTACCATCAGAACGTTTCGCCCACGTACACCTGGACATTATAGGCCCATTACCATACTCTAATGGCTTTAGATACTGCCTGACAGCAATAGACCGCTTCACACGTTGGCCTGATGGCTATCCACTAGCGGATATTACAGCAGAAACTTGTGCTTCCGCGTTCATTACCAACTGGGTATCTCGTCATGGATGTCCACAAACTGTAACAACAGACAGAGGCTTACAATTTCAATCACAACTCTTCCAAAGCATCACCAACCTGATCGGCGCAGAACATCGTCCCACCACCTCATACCATCCGCAATGCAATGGAATGGTGGAGAGATTACATCGCCAACTAAAAGCAGCCATCATCTGTCACAACAACCCACAGTGGACTGAAACACTTCCCCTAGTGCTACTAGGAATAAGAGCTGCCTGGAAAGAAGATCTGCAGGCATCAGCCGCCGAGCTAGTATATGGAGAACCACTACGACTACCGGGACAATTTTTCTCAACTTCGCTTGACCAGAACCTAAATCCAGCAGACTATACAGCTCGCTTGAGAAATCATATGGCAGCATTAACCCCAACTCCTGCATCAAACCACAACAGTAAAACATTCTATTTGCCGAATGACATACATACTGCACAGTTTGTTTTTCTTCGCCGTGGTCCCGCAAAACGATCGCTTGAATCACCATATACCGGCCCTTATAAAGTTCTGAAAAGAAATACAAAAACATTTTCATTAGACATAAAAGGCAAAGAAGTTACAGTAACAATAGACAGAATAAAACCAGCTTACCTTACGAAAGAAAACAGAGAATACGACACGACCATTCGTCCACCGATGACCGCACTGCCGTTCCACACCAATCACGATGCACCGCCACCTGAAAAAAAGACTAGAAGTGGAAGATTAGTTAAGTTTCCGGACTACTATCGACCGTGAAACGGTCTCGGCAGGGGAGTGATGTGGCGTCCTCGTCGTCATTGGTAGCTGAAATAAAACATCAATAAAAATTACTAAGAATTAAATTATGTATTAAAAATGTACTTACCAACTTCTACGTATAGACCGTGTCTATTGTTCTCCGCGGCAGGCGGGGGCGAGGCACGCGCATTCCACAGCGCGCTCCGCCACCAGTACGGCCCACGATTTCTTAAGCGACACACGTGCAACTCGCTGCCGACGCCGCGGTTTATTTTTACGAAAATATATACATCGTTGAGATCACATAAGTTTTATTATTTATATAGTGTTTATACGACAACGCGAACACTATATTGTCATATTTAGAACATATATGTACTGCAAATATAGTATTATGTATTAAATAAATAGACGGTGAAAAACCACCAATGCGTTCGCGCTTTTTAGCTTTTAATTATTTTTTGTACGTCAGTGAATTTCAGATTTTTTAACATTTGATGTACCCATTTATCCCTCTGAACATTTTGTGCAGATATTGTCTGATATCCAATAAATTAATAATTTCAGCGTGTCTGGGTGTGGGAGGCAGCTCGTTGGGCGGGTGGAATGGCGGGATGGTGCTGCGGTGGCGCCGTTTGCGTCGCACTTCTTGCGGCTGCTGCTAGACGGTCGCGACCTGCTTTGCTCTCGCTTTGTGTAAGTAATATACTACTTATGTGATATGATCATTTGCATTATGGGGCCGTTCAAGTATTTCGTAAGCAGATTTACTGTAATTTATCCCCCACCCCTCCTCTTGTCAGAAAAAGTAAGCAAAGCTCTCAAAAATAATAGTACATAAACGTATTAATTTTTTGTAGGAATCCACGAAAATGCATTTCGTTTACAAGCATAGACAATGTACCCACACATTATTGTGTAAAAAAGTAAATAATTATTGTTGACGTAATCACGAAATAAGAAAATCATCTCCCCTCTCCTATTCTTACTTCTGGTTCCATGTAGTTTTTCTTAATGGGTGGTCTAATCTACTTTGATCTTATATGATTTGCCGGCATTTCTTCACTGTACAAATAAATATTAAATGAACATATAAAAAAATAATTGATGCATCCGGGTTCCGAATTCACATCCATAACCTTAGACTATTAGGCAACAATTCTAACGAAGAGGTAATGAAATGTGTAATTCTGATTTCAGTGTTTTTCTTTCCGTTATCACTTGTGTCACTTAGTAAACTTTCTTTAACTGATTTGCACGTTTATTTAAACTAGGTATGTGCGCTGGGTGCACTAGTAGCGTGCTGGGCAGCGGGTGCGGCTTTGGTAGCGGGATCTGTAGCGGCGGCCGACGCCTGCCAAGAACCCGCTCGTGCTGTTGCATTGTACGCACCGCATCGTCTACCACTTGACGTATGTATAACGTTCATATACGTACTTTTGATATAAATTGTTGTCTTTAATGGTATAAATATGAGAATATGTTTATCTTGTTATTCTGTAAACCCAATACCAACTTCAATGATTGACTTCAGAAGTTGCCAATAATTGGCTGATATTTGAACTTTTTGGAGTGTAGTTGTAAATAAAAAACTTGACGAATTAAAACATTGCCAGAGAGTTTCTTACCGGCTCTTCTTGGCCGCTCTTCATCATCTTCAGTCGCATTCTTTATTTCTGATGGTCGCGTTAGTGGCGCCGCACAACTTCCTCCACTCTCCCCTGACTTCGGAAAGCCTCTGCGCCAGGGTGATGGTAAGACCCGTAACGGGCTTTACTAGAACGGTCCAGCGAGTAGTGAATCGGCCTCGAGGTCTGGTGCCCTCCACTCTGTCAGCCATGATGAGGTTTTCTAAGCTTTCTAGATCTCTGCGTGTTACATGTCTAATAAAATTCAGGATGCATTGGTGTCCAAAGACGATTTTTTACTTGTAACCGTCTTAGTATGGACACGTTTGTTTCCTGAAACAGCTGGACTGGTCACCAGAGAATCCTTAGCATCCGCCTCCAACACCAGAGCATCGATTTTCCTCCTTTCAGATGTCCGTATTGTCCAGGATTCAGCATTCGGGCTGATTTAAAAACTAGTAGTAAATGTGAATTTAAAACTTCCTTTCTTTAAATATTGACGTTCATAAGTGTACACAGTTACTAATTAATAAATACATTTTGATTGATTGTAATGCAACCCTGGTACCTATGGAACGCAATATTGAAATTTTCTAGCAATTACTGTTCCCATTTTAATTACATACTGTGATCAAGATGAATCTGTACAGATATAGGGATGCCTTATTAAGAAGTGAGTGAAAGTGTCCCGATAGAATATGAAAAACCTTTTCAGATGGTCCACTACTACCTTTCGTGCAAGGTGTCTCGTGAGAACGTGCTGACAGCGGAACTGAGGAACGCACAACGCGCGGTGGTGGCCGTAAGGCAGGCCCTCGCTATTCTCTCTAGAGGCGCTCCGGAACTATTCAATGACCCTGGTTAGTTGACCAGAAGATGGTAATACAGATAACTTTGTATAAAAAATTGAGTGTTCTAAACGCGAAATTCATACGTGGCGTATACCATTTTCAATACTTTTTTATTATTTGAGAGATATTTTTTTACTAGTGGTCGACCACAACTTCTATTGTATGAAAATATTACTTTCATATAATTTAAGGAACTTCTTCGAAATAAAAGCAATTTTTTTTATATTCATATTCTGAAAAACAGACGAAGACGTTCGCCGAAAAGTAACATATTATATTCGTCTTCAGATTGCGATATATAGCGGCTAATAATATTATTAGTTATAAGATATATATATATATATATATATATATATATATATAGTTTTTATATATTTGGATGTATTTTAAATTGTATCGGTGTAGGTATTATTGTGTAGTTCCATCGTATTATTAATAGCTGTAAAAGTATAATAATTATGTGGGAAATAAATAAATAAAAGTAAATGTGAAAGGAAAACAAACATGCCTTTACATTTTTAAAATAATAGTGACCAAAGCGAAAGCTTTAATAGGAGATCAATTTTGGCTAAAACCTGAACGAAGACAAAATAATGATACAGCCCATTTTTTTTGTTGTATTTGAATATGCCTTAGAAATTATGATATCGTGATAATTTGGAGATTTTATGAAAAAAAAAATTGATGGGAAATATCGTGTTTGTAGGTCTGCAACCAGCCTTGGGTGCGCTCGGAGCTGGTACAGGGGAAGCCGAGCGTGCTCTTGTCTCTTTGAGCTCGGCTCTGGAATGTCGCATGGCTCGTACCTACTTCGTCACCGCCGCACGCGCAGCTTGCGATGCTGGTCTGCAGGTATTTCGTGAAAGAATATTATATACATGAAGGTCAATCAAATATCTTATAGACAAAGCGTGGAAAATTGTGCAATAAGATTTTTCATTTTACGCAGATTATTCGTAAGTTCCAGGTCTGTTTTTGAAGTGAAAACTTCTTTAGCAGCTTTTTTCGGTTTTTTGGAATGGATAAAAAATGTTAAACTCGCGTCAGGACACGTGACCTGATCGAAAATTCGTAAGACGGATGGAGAGTAGACAGCTGGCGCGGCGTATTTAATGTAATATAAATTGTCATGTTTGTGCACAATAGCGCAATAAATAAATATTGTATTCTATCACATAAATGATAGTACTTTTATACTGATAATTAAAGCAATTCGTGCAAAATTATTCCCTAACCATTCCAAAATATCAAATATGCCGGCACTCTCGGAGTGCAACCCATCGTTTTTGTTTAATTTCAAAGAAGTTAATAAATTGTTTATTTAAAATTTAATTTACAGGCACTGACCCTTCAGCTGCTAGCAGCGATAGTGGCAGGAATCCTATTCACCGCTATTGTTCTAGTCGACTCTCACGCTTGGATATATATCAACACTAAGTGAGTATAATATAATAAGTATTGAAAGCAGATATCCAGGATGTACTAGAAAAGGGATCAGTCCAAATTACCCATAACCGACGAGCGTGTATGGTAAATGTCAAGTGAATGAAGCGAGACAGGTACCTTAGCAAGTGGTCATTCGTTGTCTCTGTCTGCCCCTTCAGGAAAATGTGAAGTGATGATATAAATAAATAAAAATATAAATCAGAAGTTTAATAATTTATCTTATATTATAAACATCTTAATTTTGATCAGACTATTTGCATTGTAATACAAATACAATGTGAGCTCTTTATTACGTCATTCGTTATAACGAAAAACTCTCTATAACATAAAAACTGTTAAATTTGTTTGGTTTAACACAAAACCCAAACATTAATTCCCTCTTTATAACGCAACAGACATTCTCTATTACGAAGAAATATTTCATATTTAGACATCAACAACATACTTAAGTGATATTGTTTTTATAATCAGCTTTCAAAACTAAACTTTTGAGGTGCCGAAATTTCTAAGAAAGACACCTGAGGTCATAAACAGCCGTCTCGCCTTTGTTATTGTTAAATGCATTAACACGTGTGCAATTATTGTTACATTAGATTCGTAGTTGTAGAAAAATTCTTATTGTGTCATGAAGATTATTCCACCACATCCCAATATTTATTAAAAAAATATTGGCTTAGCAAAAGACGTCAGGCAAAGTTAACAGAATATATGTGTTTAGGAAAATTTACCTATTGATAGTAATAAAATAAGAAATGATTGTAATGGGTTTTTTTTGAAGTGAAACTTCTTTATCGGGGTTGGAAAAAAATTTTGTGTAACATTTTTGCGTTACGCGTCACATTTTTCCGTTACGCGCCATGTTGCTTTTTGAAGTCAAACTTCTTTATCGGCGTTAAAATATGACATATAGTATGTTTTTGACTTTGAAGTTTGACAACGGATTACATTTTCGACTTGAAATTTGCTAATCGCAATTAATTTGTAAATTGTATGCTAGGCAGTGTATCAAAATTTACTGTGTTTAAAGAAATAGTTTCTAATAAGGTCATAAAGAAGTTTCACTTCTTACGTGTGTACACCTAGTACACGCACACATTTTTTTTCTCCTCGGTCCATATAACAAAACCTCTCTATAACGAAAAAAAATGCTCGGTGCCTTACATTATAAAGAGTTTACACTGTATATTAAAGAACAAATTGTCAGGATAAAAAAAAAATTTGGAACGCAGATGAAAATGTATATTAAACAAAATTGGTTGACATATTATTTTATTTTTTTGTATTTTTTTATAGGCAATCGAGCCTACGGGACGCCCAAAAAGGGCAGTCATCGCAGCCCATGGACACCCATTATAGTGGGTGCGTTGCCGGTCTTTTTATGAATTAATTGTTAAATATTATGAACAATTTTAATAAAACACTTGAATTCACAGACGTGCTCCTAGCGGTGAGGAACAGGCTCCGTTCCTAGGCGGGGCTGGTACTCGGACTCTCCCCCGCCCAGCACCATTCCCTAATGGAAAGCCGCCTTCGTACAGCGCTGCCGTGCAACTCATGGACCTCAACGACAGACCTGATCGAGAACGACCCAGGTGACGTTCACTTCCAAGCATTTAGTATACTATTGTATGATAATAGATGTACGAGTTAAGACTATACTTTTCTGCTTAGCACTTTTTATACAAAAAATATTTAGAAACGAGACCTAACGCTAAGTTTGACTCCCGTATCTCAAAAATGTATTGGATTTTGACATACGGGTATAGTTCGCGGTAAGTCTCGTTGCTGAATCTATTTAATAAGAATATTATGTAATTTAAACTTTATCTATCTAAAGTGAATAACATAGTAAAAATCATATACAGCGCAAGCGCATATTTTCAGGCGCTTTAGAGACTTGTTGTATAGAAAGAAACGTTACATACTATTTAGACTTCACACCTATTTTACTTTTTTATTTGGTCCTTCGAGCCGGATTCGACCCATAGATAGGTTCTTATCGAAGAATTTTTGAAAGATACAAATAAAAATAGCACTTTGTTTCACATTTTTATCATAAACGTGTCTAGTTGATGTAAAAAAAAACTCTTCATATCCAATTTTATCGACACAAATTGAAGTAATAAATAAAGGTCTATGCTATTGTGTAGGTCCCGTATATCAGGCAGTGCAACGCTAGGCCGTAACAGCGGTGGTGTGGGCGGAGTGGAAAGGGCGGGTGGTTTGGGTTTGGGCGGTGCCCATACTCTGGGCCGAGCCCCTCACAACGGCAAGTACGCCACCCTCAGCAAGCAGTGCAAGACGCTTGAGAGTAATGACTTCTACTGAGAACGGCCCGGCGGCGCGCCCGAACACAATGCTGGTGAGAATATATTTAACAAAAACACAGTAATATGGTAGACCATACGGACGCTGGTCCCCAAACTAGGGACATCCCTGTGTTATAAGATAGAGTGATTAAAAAGAGTGGCGGAAAGTTTCTTACCAGTTCTTCTTACCCGCTCTACGCCCTTGACTTGCGAACTGGTAGTAAATGTAAATTTACTATTAATTTAACTTCTTTTTACGTTTATAAGTGAACTTGTTTACCTATTTGAATAAACATATTTTGAGTTTGAGTTGTGGGTGACCAGATGTATTTCCGTGGTTCTTATATTCGTGGAACAATACAAAACATTTAATAATGTATAAAACAATTAATAATTTTACATAAACAAAATGTTTACGCTTTATTTTTAAATAAGCTTAAATGTTGAAATGAAACGTCTTAACATGTGTTCGGCGTGTTTATATATTATATATATACGTACTGTTTCTTTTTCTTAAATCTAACATTCGGGATAGATGTTTAGAACAAGGATCGCAATAAGTCTATTCTAAAAAATAGTTATAGTTTTAAATCCACTCACATTCTTACGAAGTAGATTGTTTAAAATGTAGTTTTTATTAATAAAATTATTATTATTAGACCGTCCATAGAAATGCTCATTACCACGAATTTAAAAACATAACTATGACATCGTAAATTCTAAAATATTAAGACTGATTGATTGATTGAGACATCAATAACGTTATTTTATTTTTTTAAATTGGAGTAAATAGGGTAAAATTCTATAATGTTTTGAATAAAATAAATCAAATTGATTTTAAGTACCAGTACTTTTTTAATTGAGTGCGTTATAAACAAACACAACTTTATAATATTAGTATAGATTGAGAAGTATATTCTACGGAATTTCTTCTTTATTATTATTACATAATATTCGTTTTCCAATCATTGTTGTTTTTATCATTATAAGTATTAATTATTATTAAAAATTTATGTGAATGTCAATTTAAACCAGTTCAATTAAATAAGATAGTTGATTGTCTGCAGTTAGGGGCTGTAATTTTTTGTTTCTAGTACGTATAACGGGTTTCTTCTTTAAATAATTTACTCTAAATGTATTGCAGGTCAGGCGAGCCGCACGGGCAGCCTGAATCGCTTCGACCCTAAGTACGCGTCGTTCGGACCCCGAGCGCCGCGTCCACGCCCCCCTGCGCCGCCGCCCGCCCTCCACACCTTCTCGCCGGAACCGCCCGCTCACGCACCGCCCGCTCAAGACAAATACGCCACGGTGCGACCCCAACGCCGCACAGATCCGCAACCGCTCTCCGCCGCGGCGTTAGAGTACCGCAGCCTCCAACGCCCGAGGAGACAACCCCACAACAACACCCACAGACGACGCCCGGAACGACACGACCAGAGAGATCTCTACGCGGTCACCGAGTTGTAGGACCAGCGAGGTACGAAGGTACGGACTTGCGTGCACGGCTGCACGTATGGCGATGAGGTTTGACGGATCGAGTATAGTATATACAAAACTTTGGTTAGTTAAACGATCCGTTGTGGGATGTTTCAGTTCGTTACTTAGTACCTTAAGCGATAAAGTGGTTTCGTTTATGACTTGCGAAGTGATCCGTACTCGAACGTACATACGTACGAGAGTACGCACCTAACGTACAAATTGATTACCGATTGTCAATATGAACCTTTGTGAAAGCGTCTTTACGAATAGCTTTTCTCTATGCTGGACATAGATGTAACAGTATAAGTAAAGGCTATCGAGTGATTTACTTTTGTGTCTCGATCAAGAAAGTCTGAAGGATCAGACTATGGCTGTGTACTCTTAACGACTGATTTAAGGCGTTAATTAATTTCCCGTTAACGATAATGTTACTCAATTTATTTCGACTTCTCTTGAGTAATTAGCTCAATATAAATCTAGAATAATCGATTTAGCTAAATTTACAACATTCGGCTGAATAATAACGTTGTAACACGTATGACAAAGTTTAGTGCAAATATTGGCATTTAAGCGTAATATGTAATGTATGTAAAGTAGTCTGGCGCGTAGAGGCTCGGAGCCTAAAGTAGTCATTGTATATAACTAGGAATTATCTCATAATGAATAGGCTTTGTGTGACTTTTAATCTTTTGAGTATTTATTGATGAATGATAATGCACTTTTTTTACAAATTACTCGGTTCTAGCCGATTTTTAATTGTATATAACTTAACTATTCTAAGCGCATTCCACCGTAATCGTAGAATGTGAATTGGTCTTAGCGTTGTTGAGGTGCAAAACTACTGCCAATCGTTAGGTTAGGTTCTGACAAATCTAACACCGTTTAGTTTTAACCGGGAGATTGCGAAAATCTAAACCACGTTTTGGCATTTATTCTATTTTCAATGGCCTATTGAATATTTGGACAATATTTTCTGTAATTTTCGCGATCTTTACTCCAGTGTTTGTTCTTCCAATGCTTTAATAGTAGATAGAATATTACCACAAAACATCCATTTCAAGAATTGTATGACAATCTGTTTGAGCTTCAACTAATCATTTTTAAACCTTCGTCTATTTCTATCATACTGTGTTTTCAAAGTGATGAAAAAGACAGATCAGTGCGTTATATTAAATCAGTGTAATTTTAGTTTTGAAGCTATGAGTTAGAAATTGTACTGTTGAAATGTTCGCGTCATCAAGTTTTTTCTTTTTTAATTTTCTTTATTTTACACAAAAATATAATACAATCATAATAAGTTACATCAGCAAACCGCTGTGGTTTATAATCAGTACTCTACTCGTGCAGATTTAAAAGTATTGCATTGGTTGAACAGCGCTTAGTTAGGCTAGTTATAAAGCGAATGGTACCAGTTTTTATTCAGTATTAAAAATAGTGAATTTTGTGAGAATTTACAACGACGTTTCGTACGTTTTTAATGGTAATAATTTTAACGAAGGTACCGTAAGCAGTGTATTCGCCAAAGATATGCATAATATAAGTACTCGTAGTTAAGGTATAATGTAACGGCTACTAAGGTTAGTTTGTACAAATATTATTTCTCTTTATTAGTATATCGCCTATTTTGTATCTATTAACTTTAAAGTGTTGCTCAATTTTGTAACGTATCGTAATCTTTTTTGAGCAAATTCTTTTGTCTGTGGTTTTGATAACTAGCGATGTATACTAATCGCAAATTTTAAATTGTCAAAAGAAAAAGTTACAAAACCGTTCTTACTACACTACTTCGAGTGACGCTAACGGAAGAATACGCTATCCAAAGCGAATAAGCTATTTATTGCGTTTTTATATAATTATTTATCTGTTGTAAAATAGTGTACAATTTTCTATTTAACATTAAGAATGAGGGATGTGCGACGGATGGATTTTATGGACAAACCTATGCAATAAATCAGTGCTGTAGCTTTGCCATTTAAAAATTGTCTATTGAAATATCCAGAGACAAAGGTACAGCATTTATAATCTATACACATATATTTCAATGTAAGTAATGCACACTATTTATTACCTTCATTAAATAATTAGACAGTTATCATGTTTTAGAAATATACCAATATACGTTGCTAGTCGCAATGTTGCGTTCAGTTAAATTTTTCATATACAATATCGCTGGTTATGTCTGCTAAGCATGATGGTATTGAGAAAATTATTTTTTCATTATCTTTTATTTTCACAATCTTTCGTAAACAGAATCAAGAAAATTTTGTGATACTTATACAGTTGTCAATATACAAACTGAGCGATTCTTTTCCGTCAAATGGACCTGTCAAAGTGCGTTGACGCATACGCATTTGAAACTGACAGATAGGAACGATTTATTTATCAGTTACGGAAATAAGATGTAACTACAGTCCCTATATGATGAGTTTAACTTATTTTTTTTTATTTCAATAAAAACAGAAATTCTGTTTATAACAATAAGTGGCAACTCGTCTTTATGTTCTTTTAAGACTTACCCCATCAACAGCTTAGCATACTAAATCTGGGATATCTGTATTCTAGTATAATCTGCACAATTATAAAGGTTACCAAGACGAGAAATTGTTTGATGAAGCATTTAGTGTTGCCATTTAAAATTTTATTTATTTAGGGGAAATATTTTCAAAATTTGGCAGTTTTATTTAAGTGCCATATATTATATGAAAGTTTATACATTTTTATGTTGTATGCAATACTTTATGCTTTTTCGAGTCAATTATGGTGCGTATGTTACAATTTGTATTAAGTCTTATTGCGTTGTAAGAATAACTCGGTAATTAAAGGTTTAATTGACCGCCTATATTACAGCTGATTTTTATGAGCAGAATAATGCTATGTGATTCCTGCGTGATTGTTTTAAATTATTTAAATTATGGCAATTATTACAACGCAATACGATAATTTTTCAGGCACTAATGTGCGAGTGTAAACGGTTGATGATTAGATCAAGTGTACGAGTTTACAAAAATAAATAAATGGATAATAATGATCGTTTCATTTTACCTTTAAGCAAATTTGGCCCGTTTCTCTCTAAGAGTTCTCATCTCTGGGCGGGAACTCTTTCCACTTGACAGTATTCAACGATGAGCGGTACGAATCGTCGACGACCAATCCCTCTCCGAGCGGCTTGATCCCTTGGCGCTGGGTAGGGATGTGGATCACTCTGCATCTTCTGCCGCATTTACCATGGAGTGTTCAGTTGTTCGGATTAATTATTACCTGTAGCTGAGTTTCATCATCGGACGTCGAAGCAGAATACGAAAATCCACCCGTATCACCTCGACATCCGTCGTTCCACAACTGAGCGTTTTTTAAGGCAATTTTTGAATTGCTATGTGGAACCAGCTGCACACTGAAGTATTTCCGAACCAATTAGATTTAGGGTCCTTCAAGAAAAACGCGTTCCAATTCTTAAAAGGCCAGCAACGCACTCGCGAGCTCTCTGGCATTGAGAGTGTCTTTGGGCGGCGGTATCACTTAACATAAGGCGAGCCTCCTGCGCGTTTGCAGGTTCCCCTGTTCTATAAAAAAATTCAAATGATAGACTAGAAGTACGTACATTTCGGAATAGTTTTACAGCTAACCCCATTTTGGCGTTATTTAGAAGACGTTATTATAGATAGATTTGTCGTACGGTATACAATGATAAATTCTTTACTAACATTCTAAAGAGGTATGAGAGGTTCTTGTAGGTAATCTCTGGATTTTGAAAATCTTTCTCTCATCCCAGAGAAATCAATCTCAGATAAGTTCGTTAACTAAACAGCCACTTTATTAGTGAGTATGATAGGCTATACAGTGGTCGGATTTGCAAAGTTGGTCGGAGAAAAAACGGTCAAACGAAGAGAATATTTGTTTGATAATCACTGCAAATTTTATTAAATTTCCTTTTATATTTTATCAAGACACTGCACCGTATTTATTGCGGTTATCACCATTATCTAGAAGAATGCATGAAGAAGTCCGTGAAAAGCCGCTAGATAGGACAATAATTCGATTGTATGTACTATGCGTACTAAGAGTCAAATTGAGACAAGATATATAGCGTGTGTATAATAGGACGTTAAAAATATGCACCTAAAGTCAACACCAATTACAAAGGGAACAGACGTTTAACAATTTAAATGTTGATATTTACCTGTTCACCTCAAGTGTGGTGGCGGCAAGGAGAGCTCTGACATCCGAGATCCTCAGTGGAATAAATAGTGTATCATAAGTTTTTAAAATTATACTACCCTAAGTTTTCCTCAATTAGTTTTTAGTTAGTTATTTGATATCTGATATATTTCTTTAATAAAAGCAATAGTTGGATTAAAATGATTTTATTGTTACCAATCCAGTTCATTATTAGGTAAGTACTTAATTATATGTCAAGATTTATTTAATAGCTTAAAAATAACTTTATATTTAGTAAGTTATAAGCTGTAAATCTTTCTCAATAATAAAAAAATATCCCAACGTATTTCTTTCATAATTTTTCATTATAAGCAAGTATTTGATAAGCTCAAAGTCATAAATCACCATTTTCACCAATTACGATTTGGTAAAAGTATAGATCTAAAATATGCCGGTTTCCTTGAGAGTCGAGGTTCGAACGCACTATCACAAGATTGAAATTCGATGTTTCCTCTTAATAACCTTCATCTAAGTTTAGTTAATCGCGCTCAGAAAGCAAACCTAGCTGTTTCTATATATTCTATACTATACATAGCCAACACTATGTATAGTATACATTTCGATAAACTGAAAGTGGATTTAACTACTCACAAAGTCCGAGTTAATCGGGTCGTTTAAAAATGCATGAAATTGTCGTTGACCTTACATTGTTCGCGAGATTGCGTTATTCCAGTCGTTGCAAGCTTTATGAGTTTACAACTGTTCGCTGTATTGACAAACTTTAAATATGCCATTTTAAAGTTTCGGAGAACTGAAGGGCTATTTGCAGTTTA